AATTATTATAATATGCTTTCCTATTTTATCTAATTAACTATTTTGATTATTCAAGTATTTGATTATTTTATTTATTAACATTTTAGCTATTATAAATATTATGACTATTTTCATTTTAGCAATTTAACTATTTTGATTCTTTTAATTTATTTGGTTATTTTTACTATTTGATTATTTTTTCTATTTTTATTATATTTTGATAATATTTTTAAATTATATTGATTGTATTATCTAATTTAAATTTTAGCTATATTTATTTTTATTTTTATAATAAAATTTTTAAATAAAACAAATTTAATATAAAATTTATATATTAATTAATTAAATAATTTTTTTAAAAAAAAAATATAAAATTGTTTGGTTTAATTAATATAATAAAATTTTTTATTAATTATATTAATTATTATAATTTGTAAATATATTTTATATTATTTTATATTTAATATATTAAAAGCAAAAATTTAAATATTAATTGTTTTTTATAATTATTTTATAAAGTAATTTATAAATCTACTCAAAGTAAGTTAAAAATTAAATATTAAATTAAATTTAAATGATAAACAAAATTAGAAAAATAAAATACAAATCATTTGTTATTATATAACTGGTTATTATCATTTAGAAAATTCTATTAAATTAGTAATTTTTAATATTTAATAATATTTATTTAAAATTATTTAAAATCAATATAGTTTAAAACTATTAAATAAAAATCCTATTTTTTATATTTATATTAATAAATTAAAATTATTAGAGTAAATGGATAACCAAATAGAATTTAATGAAATTATAAATAATATTTTTATAGTAAATATAAATGGTTTTTTATTATATAGTTTAATATTTTCTGAGTTAACTGATTATTTTATATTTTTTTAATAAATAATTTTTTTTTCAATATAAATATATTTGAATTTTTATTAATATTAATTTTTAAAATTATTAAAAGAATAATTATAAAAATAATATCTTATTTTATTTCATTTAAAAATTATAAAATTATATTTAAATTTATAAAAGCCAAGAAAGTTTTAATTAATAAATTAAATAATAAATTTTATTTTTTTATTTTTAAATATTAAAATAAATTCATCAAATTAATTAAAATAATCAATATGTAAAATATTATATAAAAGATTTTAATTTAAGTTTTTTCTAAATAAGGTTTTTAAATAATAATTTATATATAATTTTAAAATTTTAAAAATAAAAATTTAATTAATTTTTAATTTATATAATTATTTTAAATTTATTATATTTATAATTTCATATAAATCAAATTTATTTTTGCTAAAAATATAATCTTAAAAAGTTTAATAAAATAAAATTAAATTATAATAAAAGAAAAAAATGATTTTATATTAATTATAAAAAATTAACTAGTATTTTTACCAAAAAATAAAAATAGAAATAAACTTTATTGAATTTATTACAAGAACTAAAAAATTCTACCAAGCCATTTAGGAAAATTAATAAAAAAATAACTCCTTTATACTTATCAATTGTTACAACCCAACAAAAATAAATGAACTAACTTATTAAAATCATAACATTTTTTTATTTTGATATTAGAGAGTTTTAGAAAAAAATAATAAGCAATTAAAAGCATTAACAATTTATTTACAATAAAAAAATAAAAATAAAAATTACCTATTATTCAATTAACAAAGTAAAATAATTTTAAAAAAAGAAATAAAATTATAAATTATAAATAAAAAAATATTAAAATATATTATTTATAATTCAATTAAATTTATAAAAAAATTTAAGATTTAATATGGGTGGTTTGCAAATTATCTATATAAAAGCTTTGTAATAGAAGGAAGATAACTCTAAAAAAAATTTTTTTTTTTGAGTTAATGTTAAGTCTGAACTTATTTTACTAAAAAAATCATAATTAGCTTATAAAGTATAATTTAAATTTTTTTGAAGTTTACTGCAATACTTCCATATTGATATGATCTAAAAAATTATAATAAGAAAAATAAAAAAATAAAAATAGAAAATAAAAAATTATAACATAAAAAATAAAATAAAATAAATAAATAATAGCTAAATAGCTTAAAAAAATATTCAATGCAATTTAATAAATTTTTGAAATAAATGAATTTTTCTATACATTTTTTTTAAACACCTTTAATTTTATATTTAATTTTCATAATTTAATAAAGTTAATATTTTTGTAACTTTATTAATTAACAAAGTATTTTTAATTTTTTATCTATTCAATTATTTCAAAAGTTAATTTAAGAACTTTAATTAAAAGAAATCGATATTTATTTATTTTTATAAAAAATATGAAAACAAATCTGACCTTTAAAATCGGTTTAGCCTTTAACAAAAACTTAAGTTTTACAAATGATTCGAAATTTGCATATTTGGTACATTTTAACATACTGAACTCGTATTATAATTGTACAAAAATAAATGGTATGTTAATTAGAAAACTTTTTTTATTATTAGCAGAGTTCATTAACCTAAAATAGTTTTGAAAGTTTTTTTTTTTTTTTTAAAAAAATCATCCATCATAGTTTAAACACATTAAATGAAATACATACATAATAAAGATATAATTTTATAAACAAATAACTTAAACGACACGACACACATAGGATTATCAAAATTGTAAAATTATTTATGCAGATATTCTAAGAAAACGGTTACATGAGATTTCTTTGTTTTTTTACATATGTATCACTGCCGATCTAGCTGTATAAAGCTAAGTTCGGCCTAGAGAAACAAAAAAAAATTGTCTTTAAGAAAAAATCTATAGTAAACAGCTTAAGTAATACTATACTCTAAACAATTTAATTTCGACTTTCAATTCAAATAAATTGACATTTAATGTAAATGTAATTATAGCGCAGTTAGCATATAAATTTACAAATTTTTTTAAATGAAATTTTTCAACGAAAATATTTATTTTTGTTTGCCGGAGATCTTTCTGAAAAATGAAATGTTGTGTTGTCACAGAATTCCTCATGCTATGCATAACTATATCGAGATACAACATAATAATACGATCCGATAAATGATTTTTATATATATAAGAACATTACAAAGAATTTATTTATTTTTTTTTTAAAAAAAAGGGATAACAAAAATATAACCTATAATATGGAATTTTTGATGCCAAATAAATCCTTATCTCATAAATCAAAAAATAAAGGGAACCCCTACCACAAATGTATCAAATGCTCTAAAAGAAAAAAGTCTTCAGAAGAATGTCGACATATTTGCCACATTTGCATTATAAAATATAAGAAATATGATGTGTGTCATGAATGGAGAATACCTTCTAAAGAAAATGAGCATATTTGTCAGGAATGTATTGTATTATACGTAAAATGTGACGAATGTCATGAATGGAGAATGACTTCTAAAGAATATAAACGTATTTGTCAGGATTGTATAATATTATGTGATGAATGTCATAAATGGAGAAGACCTTCTAAAGAAAATCAACGGATTTGTCAGAATTGCATTATATTTTGTGACGAATGTCATGAATGGAAAAGACCTACTAAAAAAATTCAGCGTATTTGTCAAGATTGTGTTATATTTTGTGTGGAATGTAATGAATGTCTTGAATGGAGAAGGTCTTCTGAGGAAGCTAAGCGCATTTGTCACATTTGCATTAAAATGTATGTGAAATGTAAAAGATGTCACTTGTTGAGATACATTTCTAAAGAAAATCAGCTGATTTGTCATATTTGTAGTACTAAAGTGCAGGCATTATATAATCTAAGCGGAAACAAAGTTATTGACGACTTATATTAAATATACAAATTAGTAATGATAATATGGTTGGATTAAGTGAGTTTGTACATTACAATAAGTTCCATGATGTAAAATTTATTATTGGGGGTGGATTTAGTAAGGTATATAGTACTGAATGGGTTGATGGACCTATTATTGATTTGGAGTAAAAACTAAATGTTAAACGAGGTGGGACCAAGATAGTTGCTCTCAAAAAGCTTAATAATTCTAAAATCATTATTTCCAAAGAATTAAAGGAGGTAAATATTTTGTAATTATATATTCCCAATATGTATTTGAAATATTTATTACTTTAAAAATATAGCTTGAAATATCCTATAACTCATCCATAAACTTGTAAAAGGAATATGGTAATAGATCATCAGTATTTGATAAGTATCTTGCCAAATGTTATGGGGTTACCCAAAACCCCATTACAAAAGATTTTATGATAATTATGGATTATTGTGAATCAGGTGATTTAAGGAATTACATAACAAAAAACTTTTATAGCAATTGGGATGTTAAGTTGAACATTTTGAATGATATTATAAACGGACTCGTCTATATTCATGGTCAAAATATTATTCATCGAGATTTTCACAGCGGAAACATCCTTTTTAGTGTATTTTATACAGTAATAAGCGATTTGGGAATAAGTAAATCTTTGATCGAATCAATAGATAATGATGAAGAGATTTATGATATTGTGCCTTATGTTGCTCTTGAGATTCTTCAGCGACAAAAATATATCACAGCTTCAGATATATATAGCTTTGGCATGATTATGTGGGAGTTAATGACTGGTAGAAGACTATTTTGGGATCAAAGTCATGACACAGATCTTATTATTAATATTTGCGATGGATTACGTCCTTCAATCGTTACAAATGCACCTGATGGATATATTGGATTAATGCAGCAATGCTGGCATTCTGAGCCGAATCTAAGACCGTCAGCTACTGAAATATATAATAACGTTTTGAAAAGGATTATATCTAATGAATCTAAAAGTAAGACCGAAATTACAAAATCATTAGATATCGGACCTATATTGAAAAATCATCCTGGAGCAATTTACACAAGTAGGCTCTTAAGTGATATGAGTATATCTGCGATTACAAGAAATCAAACTATCTCGAAACAAAGTAAGTATCATTTTTATAATCAGAAAAATATTGCACATTTTTCGATGTCCATTACTTTAAACATTTGTTAAACAATAATTTTCAAAAGGTAAAAGAATGTTTAAAGGCAATTTGGATGAAAATCATAAAACGGATAAAAAGAATAAATTATCTGAAAATAACAATATTGGTAAATAACTTAAATTTCTGTCTATGACGATATTTTTCAATTAATTTTTATTAAAATACATAATTTTGTTAGATAATTGTTATATAACGAAAGAATTTGATATTTGATATTTGACTTAGCAAGAAAGGTGATTAGGTGGTTTTCATTTGTAAAATTTGTAACCAAGCACTTATAAGTATATATCTAATTTATTGTGCTTACAACTAATATCTATAAGAAAATCAACAGTATTTTTTTTCTGTTCGATTTGATTACTAACGAAAGAAAAAAATATACTATCGATTGACATTATGGCAGCTTCATAACCTTTTATAATTAATCATAATTAAGTTAATATCATTGTTCTTATATGGAGTAGTTTTATTTCAATTCATTAAACTACAATTTTTTAAATCCTTTTTATGTGATTGATGTCAAATTTTTCATGTTTTTCTTAATTTATTAATTTTTATTTTTACTTATCACATTTTTTAACACTTATAAAGCTCTGCAATAAATTCATATATTTTGGTTTCAAATTTTTTGTTCTTCATCATGATATTCCATTGTG